ATCGATGAGAGAGAAACATCGATCAGCTGCCTCCTGCACATCTCCCACTGGGGATATGCCCGCAACCCAGGCACATGCCCCTGACCGGAATCGAACCTGGGACCTCTCAGTCCGCAGGCCGACGCTCTATCCACTGAGCCAAACCGGCCTCGGCTAAAAATTGTAAATTTTTTATTGATTCATAAAGTATACAGTATAAGGTTATGTATGGAATAGCACATCGGGTAAATGGCCTCCACGGCTTTGCTGGCACATACGCAAAGCCATGGTCTTCATTGGTCTTCATTGTCCCTGCTCCTGGGCCATAATTGGTACTTGGTAATGCTTATCAAATTGAAGGGACTGAAATCACAGGGTAACATATTAGAATCTGATTCAATAAACCAAGTAAAATTAGGCTTTTATTTTTTGTTGTTGTTGTTAATGCTCACGCAAAATTCAAATCTTGCATGAATTTTGGGACACCCTATATTACAGAATCATACACCTGAAATCTATATAATTCTATTAACCAATGTCACCCCAATAAATTCAATTTAAAAAAAAAAAACATAACAAGCAAACAAAATACTGACTACGAAACACCCTATACTCCACTGAGTATGAAACTGGTGATCTGAGCATTTACTAGGCACCAGGCATGGTGCCAAGCACTTCGCATGTGCTTACTGAACCACCCAACAACCTAGGACGGGATCCCGCCATTATCATTTCATAGATGAACAGACTCAGCAGCTGAGAGATGAAATCATTTGCTCAAAGCCACCGTTAGTAACTGGCAGGACATGAACCTCAGGCTGGCTGACTCAGAGACTGCCCTTGGTCTTAACCACTCCTCTCTCCCCCTCTCCCCCCAGGATTACCACGCCCTCCCTCCTGCCCACCTAGACCCGGGCTTACCTCCACAGAATAGGAGAGCTCAGCGCTCTGGTTCTTACTAACACGAGAGAAGAGGTCTTCACAGAGCTGGAGAGGACACAGAAAAGCTGCTGTTCACAGTGCCCTGCGGCGCCCAGCATCAGTCCAGGCCCTGTCCTAGGTGGTCCAGTTGAACCCTAACTCAACCCTGAGGGAGGGGTCATTCCTGTTTTACCGATGGGAAAGCAACCTCAGAGAGGTTCACACTTGCCCGGGGTCACAGCTAGCAAACCCAGGCATCCTAACTCCGGAGCCTGTGTGCAAGGCCACTGCACCGCACAGCCAGGGAGAATTACGAGCATCTCTGTTATCCTCGGCTGGCTTCTTGTATACTCACCACGCTAACTACGGTACCCCAGAATACAGGGCAGGTATACTCACAGCGGCTATGAGACAAGGTAAATGTAAGTGGCAGAACCAGGGTTCAAACCAGGGCTCTCTGATGCCATAGCTTTGGCTCTCCTTACTGAGCCTTGTTGCTTCTGGAGGGTCCTGGATGTCCAGGCTGCAGCCAACCCCTACCCACCATCACATTCCCTGTCACTAAGGGCCTCAGATAGCCAGCTCTCTGCTCCATAACCCTTAGACCCCTTCGGGAGAGCTGAAGATGCTTCCGCCCCGGCGGCCCTGCCAGGTCCCGGCAAGTACCTGGGGCACAATGCCCTGCTGCCCTGGCTCCTGCCGCCCCATCATGGTGTAGGATTTCCCAGCCCCGGTCTGCCCATAGGCAAAGATGCACACGTTGTAGCCTTCAAAGGCGTGGAGCAGCATCTCTTCTCCAATGTCCCGATACACCTGTTGCTGAGATGCAAACTGGGGGTCCTCAGCCTAGGTGGAAATGGAGCAGAGAAAGACAGCATGAGCCCTACATGGCTTTGTCCTTAGTGTCTTGGTCCCGGGAGGCTTGCACCCATTGTCAGAGACTGCCCAAAGGTCCTGTGCACTTCCCACCCCCATCACATCCTAAACATCCCTGGGGGTCCTATTCAATTTCCTGCTCCCAGTCACAACCCGTGTCCTACCCACCCCATCCCACCCAACCCCCCACAGGTGCTATTCCCCTGCAATGCCCCCGCCCAGGACCTAAATCCCCTGTCCCTTGTTGCTTAGCTCTTCCCCAGCCCAAAACCTTACCGAAGTGTGTGACCAGTAGGAGTAGTCAAAGGTGAAGCTTTTGGGGCCATCCTTGCTTTGTTTCGGATTGATGATGGCTGAGGGGGCAGGAGACGGCAAAGGAAGGCCAAGGTCAGGTACTCCCAACCTCTGCCCACTGCCCACAAGCCCCCGAATGCAGGCATCCTAGTACTCCCTCCTCTGTCCTAGTTCATCTCTCCCCTTTAATACTCCCCACCCCCTCCTGCACCACAGCTAATTTTGGCCTCCTAGGGCCCGCCCCCACCAGACTGCCTCCTTGGATTGGGCAATGGAGGGCTCCAGGCCAGCATTCCCCCTCCCAGGGACTGGGAGCACAGAAAGGCCAGCCCGCCCCAACCCCCACCCTTACAACTAGCACCTGCTCTGTGCTGGGCACAGCCCTTCTCGGGGTTCAGCCCAGCAGGACTAGCCTGCGTGGTGGGCCTGGCCCACCCCGCCTGTCCCCTGCCAGGCTCCTGGGACTCACTCACAGGTGGTGCTGCCCTGCATGCTGACCACACACTTGGCATCCTGGCTGGTCTCACGGGCATTGAAGGGCCGAACCCTCACTGCCACTTTCACTGAGGCACCAGTCATGGCTTCAGATACTCCCACCCTCCTCAGCTGGAGGACAGAGACACAGAGGTGGTTAGAGCTGCTGGGGGGACCCAGACATTAACTCCCAGCTTCTCCAAGAAACCAGTCTCTCCACCCCCCTTCCAGCTACCCAACCCCCCACGGAGCCAGGTCCTAGCTCCCTGGCCTTCCTCCCAAACGTCACTCTCCTCAGGGACTCCCACAGGTATTCCTAGCCATATCCCAGCTCGCAGTTACCTGTCGTCCTGGCCCCGGACCAGGGGGGCTGTATCAGCTCTGGCTGCCACCGGTCCGCGTAGGGGGAGCCCCATCCTACACTTGGGGCCTGGCCACGCCAGCTGGGGCTGTGGGGGAAACCCTGGCTGTGGGGGAAGAGCGGTTAGGAGGCACCTGTAGCTCCAGAGGTGTGTTTGGGGTGGCATGACTGGAGAAAAGGGGGTGGGGGGAAATGCCGGAAAAAGGAAGGATGGCTGTCCCTCTGGAGTGGCCGAATGCAATGTGAATCCAAGGGCAGAGATGGTGATATTTTTATTCCTCGTCACTCACAAGTGTGCTAAACGTCAGATAGAGGAGAGGCTGCACGGAGGGCAATTCTGAGAAAGGGACACATGGGCAGAGACCCTGCGGGTGGCAGGAAGGGGGAAGAGGAGGGGCAGAGAGTCACAGATACCAAGAAAACCAGAGACAAGAGAGAAGGCAAAATCGAGGTCGTGCTATGAAGGAAATAATGGGAGGAAAAGGAAGGAGAGGCGCAGGCCAACACACACAGAAATGGGAGGACAGACAGGGAAGAGAACTCCAGGGCCAAAGCACAAACGGGGAGCCCAGAAGAGAAGCAAGAGGAGGGAAAATCCTAAACACAAAACTACCCTAAAATTCCCACACAGGGTCAGGGTCGGGGTCAGCCAGGGCCAAGTGGCAGCCAGCTCCCACCAGGGCCCACACCCCCCACACAGGGGCAGGGATTGCCAATGGGCAAAGTGCAAGGGCTGGAGGTACAGTCCAGGCCTGGGATCCGCAGGGCCTGTGGCCCCAAACCCCTCGCCCAGCCCCCAGCACTTCCTCCCCAGGTTCCAGGACAATGGGCAGGGGAGGGCGGGGTCATCCTGCATCCATCCAGCCCGGGCTCTGGGTGGAGGAAGCCGGGATACCTGTCTTTATGGGGAAGGGAGGGTAACCCTGGGGTCTGTCTCCCTGAAAAGGGGGAGACGGGAAAGGAGCAGGCAGGTCTCGGTCCCTGCCTGAGGCTAATGCTATGGCGTCCACTGCCCTGGGGAAGGTGCCAGCCTGGAGCCCAGGAATGTGGGTGATCGGGTGCCCACACCCTGGGAGGAGAGGCTGAGCAGCCTACGCCCACGGAGACAGGGTGGAGAGTGTGGAGAGAGGGATCCGGGATGCTGGGGCCCCTTCCGGGACCCTAAAGGGGCTCAAACTGCTGTCATGTTGGCTGGGTCTCCCCTCACCGGCCTCGGGGGTGGGGGTGCAGAGGGAGAGGGCTGGTGTGTCCCAGGGCAGGAAGGGAGTAGCTGACATTAGAGGCTTTCTCAGGAAGAACAGCCCTGACCCCAGACCCTGACCACACTAGGCGGGGGACATGCAGTGGTGACGCCGAGGGGGCCAATGGAGCAGGGTCGGGATGGCACGGCTCGGGGACAGCGGGGTACAGGGCCAGGGGACAGGCAGGTCAGCCGGCGCGGCGTCAAGGAGCAGTGGGTGCAGGGAGGGGCCACGACTGGGGAGGGGGTGACCCACCCGAACCGGAGCCCAAGGACCACCTGGACCCAACCCGCCCGGCAGATCTCACACAGGCCCGGACGCCGGCCTTCCTGGGAGGCCGTGCGGACCCGTCCTCCGGTCCAGCCAACCGACGGCGGCCCGGGCCTGGCACCCCTCTGCGCCCCCGCGGGACCCATAGCACATGACCCGGCTCTGCGGCCAGCCGGCCCTCCCGGGTCGTGCACACGAGGACCCCGCGCCCGCCCCAGGCCCGACACATTCCTCCGCGGGCGTCCCTCCCTCCCCTCCCCCAGCTCTCACTTGGCGGCGGCGGGGCTCCCGGAGCGGCGGGCACGGCGCACAGAGACAAACTTCCCGGGGAAGCGGGAGACGCGAGCGGGGCGATCCGGGGCCGGTTCGGGGCTGCCCCCGCCCCTCGCCGGGTCCCCGGGCGGCGGGCGGCCAATTCACGCCCCGCGGGCGGCTGCAGAAGCGGCGCCAGCGGCCGGCGCCCGCCCGGGCAGCGCGAGCTGGGGCGGGAGCGAGGGGCGGGGAGCCGACGGGCGCGCGCACGCGGGCGGGCGGGGGCGCGCCGCCGGAGCAGGGCCCGGGAGAGACTGGAACGACTGTTAAAGGGGCAATGCCCTCGGGACTGTGGGCCCACCGGGCGGGGATGGGGAGCCAAGTTACGGTCGCCGAAGGGCGAGCTGGACGCTGGGTGTCGGGAAGGTTTTAGCGCCTGAGGAGCCAGAGCGCTGGGGGACCCGTAGGGGAGCCAGGCCAGCCCCGCGCACGCTCACGCGGCGGAGGCGCGCTCGGGGGCGGGGCCTCTCGCCGGGCCCCGCCCAGGAGGTGGCTCCGCGCAGGCCCCGCCCCCGGCGCGCGGTGCGGACGGCTCCACTTCTGTCCGTCGCCGCGTCGCCCCCGTCCCGCCGGGCCCGGCGTTCTAGAACTCGCCGCGCAGCTGCCTCAGGTGCCCCCGCCGAGTGCGGGCAGCGGCCGCACAGCCACCGGCGCTCTGCTCCTGCCGCCGCCTCAGGCCCAGGCCGCCCCTCCCGACCCAGCCTGGCCCCGCAGGGCCCAGATCGCCCCCTCAGGAAGGGTCCAGACCAGACCGTTCCCTCAGCTCCTCCGACCCCCCGGCGTGGCTGCCCCCGAAGGCCTGCCCGAGCCCCAATCTGGCTGCCAAGCAAGGGTCGCTTTCGCCCCTTAGGCGAAGCCACACACAGGCCTGACCCTTCCCTCCAGGCAGGGCCGCCCGCCCTCTCCCCGCAGCCCAGACCCCTCGGCCCCCCTCTGCCAGGGGAGGCCTCGCCTGCACCCCTGGCCAGCTGTTGGGTCCTCCGTCCAGCTTCCTGCCGCCGGTCCTGTCCCTCAGACCGAGGCCCACCTCCCCAGGCCCTAACTGACCCCTTCCGGCCCAGGACCTCCCGTGTGGACCCTCCTGCCTTTTCAGCCCGACTCCATCCCATCGGCCGCCTCCCGCCTCGGCCTGAACATCCTCCTTTCCCCTCGCCCACCTGCTCTCGCCCCGTCCCAGCTGCCCTGGGATGCAGGCCCCGTTGCTCCCCGCGGGCCTTTTCTTCCATGTTCCCTGCAGGCGCTCTTGCAACTCGCACCCCACGTCCCGGGCTCTCGGGTTGTATGTGGCTCCCCGTCCCCTGGCTCCGTGCAGCTGGCCTTTGCTCACCTTTACCTGTCGGCTCCCCCTGCCCCCCCTTCCCGTCACCCTTTGACCCTCTGTCCACACCTGATTTTTTTACCCACCCTCCATTCTCCAGCTGCCCCAGCCACAAATGCCTCTGTCCTGTCGTTTCCACCTGTCACCCCTTTTCATTTCATCATCTCCTAGCGCCAATTAAGTAACTTAACCGCCATTTGCAAATGTCACTTACTCTATAGTATAGAGTCTATACATTTGGCTTCAGAAAATTCATTTTCTCCTTTGTCTTCTGCCACAACCACAGCCCCTAGCCCAGTAATGGCGAACCTTTTGAGCTCGGCGTGTCAGCATTTTGAAAAACCCTAACTTAACCCTGGTGCCCTGTCACAAACAGAAATTTTTTGATATTTGCAACCGTAGTAAAACAAAGACTTATGTTTTTGATATTTATTTTGGATATTCAAATGCCATGTAACAAAGAAAAATCAACCAAAAAAATGAGTTCGCGTGTCACCTCTGACACGCGTGTCATAGGTTCGCCATCCCTGCCCTGGGCTCTCCATCTTCCACCTGTATATTCAGCCACTAGACCTGTCCGGCACTAGAAATGCCTTTAAAGCTCCCTTTCCCTTTGCAGGACCCAGGATCCTCTTTCCAGTCTCCAGATCTGCTCCCGGTCTCATCCCCACAGCCATGTACATGCGTGAATGACTCATTTTTCATTATCCTCCCAGCACCCATGAAGCGACTCAGTCCCGCCAGCCAGCCCAGTCCAGTCCTGCAGGTACAGGAAGATGGAGATAACCTCATCCCCTTTGCCAAGTGAGTCGTCCCCACCCAGTGGGGAGAATGGGGACAGGATGGAGGGAAGATTGCACGCCAGGGCTCTTTCCTAAGAAGAGTCAGAAATAAGGACGGAGAAGCTCAATGCCTGGGCTCAGGGGATTGATGACTCATTCATTTATTCAGCAAATAATTTTTGAACACTGCGTTGTTCTAGGCCAGCGGTTCTCAACCTGTGGGTCGCGACCCCTTTGGGGGTTTAACGACCCTTTCACAGGGGTCGCCTAAGACCATCGGAAAACACACATATAATTACATATTGTTTTTGTGATTAATCACTATGCTTTAATTATGTTCAATCTGTAACAATGAAATTGGGGGTCACCACAACATGAGGAACTGTATTAAAGGGTCGCGGCATTAGGAAGGTTGAGAACCACTGAGCCAAACCAGTTAGGGCAATCAGTGGAAGTTTTTTTGTTGTTGTTGTTGTTTTTGTTTTTTTAAAAAAATATATTTTATTGATTTTTTATAGAGAGGAAGGGAGAGAGATAGAGAGTTAGAAACATCGATGAGAGAGAAACATCGATCAGCTGCCTCCTGCACATCTCCCACTGGGGATGTGCCCGCAACCCAGGTACATGCCCTTGACCAGAATCGAACCTGGGACCCTTCAGTCCGCAGGCCGACGCTCTATCCACTGAGCCAAACCGGTTTCGGCAGTGGAAGTTTTTAAGCAAGGAAATGACTGCAGGCTTTTTTTTTCTTCAACTTTTTTATTACAGAAAATTTCAAACAAATACAGAAGTAGAGAAGGCAGCAATAATGAACTCGGTGTACCCTTTTCAGTCAGCTTTAATAACTGTTATTATATGGATAATCATCTTATCTGTATACTTAGCCAACCTCCTACTACTCAGATTATTTTGAAGTAAATCTCAAATTATACATCATTTCACATGATCACTTTTAAAAGATCACTCAAGCTGTTCTGTGAAGAGTAGCATGTAGGAGATTAGACAGAGGGAGAGGAAGAGGCCATTGCAATAGTCCAGGCAGCGTCGCGGAAGATGAGCTGGAATATGGAGACGGGAGTGGAAATGAGGAGTGGTCACATTTGGGTGTATTTTAGATGTAGAACTGATAGGACTTGCTGATAGATTTGGGAGGTGAGGGAAAATGAGGTATACCAGGTTTGGGGCTCTAGCACCTGGGCATTAGGGTGCCTTTCAGTGAGATGGGGAAGGCTAAGGAGATGTTGAGTGGGCAGTTGAACCTGCAAGTCTGGAGTTCAGGAAAGGAGCCAGGCTGGAAATATAGATTTGGGAGTCATCAGCACATTGGTGGTATTTAAAGTCATGGTGCAGGGGGTGGGGAATTAAGTCATGGGTCTGGGTGAGGTCACCCAAGGAGGGATGGAAATGGAGAAGATACAGGGCTCAGGCCTAAGCCCTTGGACACTCTCCTCCTATAGAGAAGGAGAGCAGTCATCATTTAATCTGCAGGCTTTGGAAGTGATGAGCACTGTTCTCAAACAGCTCCATACATCCCTCACCACCTACAAAGATATTAGTCCTTCTGAGATAGGGGAGACGAAGCAGGACTAAACAGGGATCTGCTCTCCTGCATCCTTGCATTAACCTGTCATCATCATCTGAGTAGCCAATAGCTGGGCCTTCCTATTTAACAGCCCTGCTTGCTAAATATGGTGTTCTCTGGTTGTGGGGTGTAGAAGTTTGAGATTCAGTGAGATCTGAGGCTCAACAATAGCCAATCTCCACCCTCATCCCAGCTCCAATCTCCTTTCAAATCAGAAGCTTTATAGCCTTCTGCAGCTAAAATGGATAAAGTGAGGACATAGCCTGAGGGAGTCTGAGTAGCTGTATGGTCGCATGGAAAGACAGGGCCTCCAGCCCTAGCCATTTGGCTCAGTGGATAGAGTGCCGGCCTGCAGACCAGCCCAGGGATCCTGGTTGGGGTACATCCAGGAGGCAACCAATCGATGTGTCTCTTTCACAGAGATGTTTCTGTCTGTCTTTCCCACTCTCTTCCACTCTCCCTAAAAATCAATGGAAAAATATCCTTGGGTGAGGATTAACTAAAAATAAACAATAAGACAGGGCCTCTGAATCCCTGGGGTGAGTAGATATGAGGGGAGAGCCAGAGCCTAGCCTCCCTTGTCCTCACCGCAGGTGTTCCAGGGTGGTCAGCCGATCCTCACCCCCCAGCTTGCCTTCCCAGAGCCTCAGACTGACACGCCAGCATTATGGAGACGTCTTCTGGGACAGCCTTAGTGAAAGGCCCAGGTGGGTGAAATGGGAAAACGGGGACTACCTGGCGGTGGGAAGGTGAGGCTGTACAATTTTAACACTCATAAAGCTTTATAGCCCTGGCCGGTGTGGCTTAGTTGACTTGAACACGGAAAGGTGACAGGTTTGAACCCTGGTTGGGGCACATACTCAGGTTTTGGGTTTGATCCCTGGTTGGCACAAGTGAGGAGGCAACTGATCAATGTTTCTCTCTCCCTTCTTCTCACTCTAAAATCAATAAAAGCAGGTCCTCAGGTGAGGATTAAGGGGAAGAAAGCTCTATAGCAATATGCACTAGTCTGGGAATAACTGCCTCACTGGTTGATGGACTTTGTAGGCTCCTGATAATAGATAAATAGGTGGTTGGGAGAGATCATTAGGGAAACAACATGGATGGGGGTGCCCCGCTGCACTTAGCCCCCTTTTTTGTGCTTCACAGCTCCACCTGGATGGAAGAACGGTACATCCCCTCCCTGCAGGTATGACAAACCTTCTGCCCTTCAATACTTCTCGGTTAAAACTGCACCCCAGCTCTCCTATTACACGTTCCCTCTAGTGTCCCCCAACCAAAGCACAGAACAGGCCCTCCTTTCTATCAATCGTGTTTTCCAGATCACAGCTGTTTTCGTGATCTGAGCTTCCCAAGACCCCTGACTCCCTGTTTCAGTCTAAGCTCCCCCGAGAGCCCCAGTTCTGCCATCTATCTCCTTTCCCCTTCTTTGGCACAGAGAGCCACTGGTTGTTCCCAGCCTGGCGTGTACCCCCCTGAGGGGCTCCCACCCCCTGAGATGCTTTTCAGAAGAAAGAGGAGGAGGTCATATTTGGCAGGAATGCAGGGACCTGGGGGCATCCCAGCCCGGGTAAGGGCTGTCACTTACCACCTGGAGGATCTAAGGAGGCGTCAGAGAATCATCAATGAGTAAGGAGCGACATCTGGGCTCCGGGAGCCTAGCAGGGTTTGGAGGCAGAATGGTTTGAACTAAGGAAGGGGCGGAGGATTTTGAAGGAATTGGAGGTTGTTTGGAAATGAATCATGAACTTGGTGGGATCACAGCAGAATTTCCATAATGTGGAAAGGAGGGAGCGAAGGGATGGTGGATGAGCCATACTGAGCTAGAAGAAGTGGAAACTGGATCACTAAAGCCAGGAAAGCACTCCATAGAACTGGAGGATAGTGGGGAGCTAGTGGTCACCTCTGAGTCCTTGAACTAAAAATACTTCAGTCTGAGGGGAGCAGACAGTGGGAGTGGAGAGTAGGAAGTCAAAGGACAATGCCCCTCCGTCCCAGCAGAAAGTATTTTAGGGCAGAAAGGTGAAGAATGGAGAGACAGGAAGCCTGGCCTCCAGGCTCCTCTGCTAAGCCTAAAATCTCCACAGGCTGAAGAAGGCCCGGTGGAGCAGCTCTGGCGCTGCGGCCGAGCCCCTGGTGCCTGGAGAAGCGAGCTGTGGATTCCCCAGCACCAGCCAACAGCCTCGTCAGGACGAGGAGGGGGCAACCTACCCACCGGAAGACGACCACTTCCTCCCTCCCGGCAGGGCCCAGGTACGGTTGGAGGGAACTCGGAGGGTGATGTGGATGCCTGGTCCTGCATGGAGAGGCATCGGAAGCCAAGAGCCAAGCTGGATTGCTGGATTTGAGGGGAACAAATCAGAGACGTGGGGGTACCTGGGTATGGGCACTAGGAAATCTGGAGAGAGACATACGTTCCCATTAGTTCATTCTTTTTTCCATCTCTCTCCTCTTTCCAGCTGCTTTGGTCTCCCTGGAGTCCCCTGGCCCAGGAAGGATCTTTCCTCTCCAGGCAGCTGAGCTCTCTGACCCCCTACAGCACTGTCACAGCCTGTAGGAGCCCCCCTTTCAATACCTGGGGGATGGAGCTGCCCGAGGAATAAGGAAGAGCCCTTATGAAGTCTCCGCAGACTAAAGGCCCAGGGATGGTAACGAAACCACCCATGTCTATCCAACATGCTCGCGCTGCCTCGGGGACCCACGCCGCCTCCTCGTCGCTGGAATCACCCCCGAATGCACCTCCCGTCCTCAGCCTCTCCCAGCTTCCCCTCCCGCCTCTGCACTCGGCGCTGACAGCCCCCGGGCCTCCCGTCTCAGCCCGCCCCTCGCAGGAGCTCCCCAAGGCCGGCGGGCCCGCTGGCTCCCTGCAGGGTTCTTTCCGCTGGTCTGTCATTAAAAGGAAAACAAGTTGAGCTCAGAGTTGTCTTTCCGGGAAGGAGTGATGGAAAGGCTCGTGGGCAAGACCCAGCTACAGTGAAGTCGGGCTGGGTCCCCAAAATTCAAGGAGTCATGCCTGGGCGAGAAAAGCCTGCCCCCCAGTCCAGCGTTCCTCGCCCAGCGCTGGACAGCCACGCGCCCCACTCTCGCGTCTCGAGGGTCACGCCAGTCGGGCGAACTCCCGCCTCCGGGACCCCGGGACCCTGCCCCTCCACCCCGCTGCCTCCTCGGGGACTTCCCGGCCGGGAGCCCCCCCACCAGCGCCCCACCCCGAGCCCCACTGCAGCGCCCAGGTTCCCTTCGCCACCCGCTTCCCCTTAATTGGGAGGCCCCGCCCCGTGCGCAGTGACGTCGGACGCCGCTGTCAGCCGGCGCTGGGGGGGGTCGGTGTGGGGTAGAATGGCCGCTGCCGCCGTCACCTGCGGGACCCCGGGAGGTAAGAGCCAGGGCCCTTGCCCGCCTCCCCGCCCCCGCGCCAGGGGGCGCCACTCCCGGCGCGCCGCGCTGGAGACCACCGCCCTCCTCCGGGCGCTCCGCTCCCGCTTCCGTCCTCCTCCCCCGCGCCAGGGGGCGCCGCTCCGCGTAGGGCCCCACCGCGGACCTGCGCGCGGGGACTGCCTTGGGGACCCCCGAACCCCGACTGCCCCTCGGCGCCGCGCGCCCGCGGACTCTGCCCCGCAGTTTCTCCAGAACATCCCTCCCTCCCTGCGAACCGGAGGCAAGACCCTCCCAGCGCGGAGCCTCTCTGGGGACCACCGCCCCGCTGTGGGGGGCGCCCCCGGCCCGCTCCGCACCCCAGTAGGCGGCCTGGCCCGGACTGTGCACCTGCGCCCTGGGCGGAGTCCTTACCCAGCCCACGCAGCTGAGCTCGGAGGGGCCGCCTCCCCCTCTTCATCCTCGGACACCTGGCGGAGCCGCGCCGACCGCCTCCTCCAGCTCCATCTGTCCCCCCGGGCGGGTGGGGCTGGGGCTGGAGCCGAGTGTAGATGGTGTGGGGTGCGCTGGGGCCGGGAAGCAGAGGCGTTTGGGGAGGGTGGGAGAGAGGTGGGTTAGGGGTGGAGAGGGCTGTCCTGAGGGTGGGAAGCTGGGTCCTGGGGGAATATCCCAGATTGTCCTAGACCTAGGCCTTGACCATCCTGGACCAGAGAGATGGGTTAGGGTCGGTTATCAGATGTCTTTCCTCTTGGAAAAATCAAATAGAGAAGGGACTCAGGGTGTGTCTTCTAAGGCCTCGCTCTCCATTGGACTTAGCTCTCCTGCCCAGCGCCCCACCCCCAGCATCCAGGCTCTCTTTTGCCAAACCATTCTCCAAGGACCGGATGCCCTGAGTCCCAGTCCCCGGGACCGAGCCTACCCTGCAGGACGCCCGCCCCGCCAGCGCCTCCCCTCCCCTCCCCCACCCACCCGTCTCTTCCTGATTACTCCTCTGTCGTGGCTCCCCACTCACGTTGGTTCCTGGCACCAGGTCCGGGTTCTCGCCCTCCCCCATGGCCTGGCTCTACTCTCCCATCAGAGCCTATCCCCTTCCTTCCTCTCTTCCTCTTCTTTCCCATGGCCCAGTCTGTACTGCCTCTCCCACCTCATCCTGGGGAAGGGTGAGGGCTCCTGCCATGACCTGTTCTCTCTTTTCCCAGCACAGACTCCCCCTCCCCCCGGCCCCTCCGGCCAGGGGTGACCTTGCCCCTGGAGCCCTCACCATGAGTACCAAGGACACCACCGAGGTTGCTGGTGAGTCCACAATCCAGGTTCCCACTTTGGACACAACCTTCCTCTCTCCCTGCCCTGTGGTGCGTGTGGTCCTTGGATTCCCTGCTCTCCTTGTTTCAGTCCCCACAGTGCCCTGGATTCAGCCCTCTGCCCTCGGCCAGCACCCTAAGCCCTCCTTTCTCGTTCTCTCTAGAGAACAGCCACCACCTGAAGATCTTTCTCCCCAAGAAGCTGTTGGAGTGTCTTCCTCGATGTCCACTGCTGCCTCCAGAGCGGCTGCGGTGGAATACAAATGAGGTTTCCTAGGGAGCGTGGGGGCTCAGGGCGTGGAAGGTCTGGGGAGAGTGAATGAGGGTCGTCCTGTGTCTGTCCACGCTCCTACCTGCAGAGTGTGGGGCTCTCTGGGGATCACCGGGGAGGTATAAAGACCTGCATCTTGTAGGAACTCACTTCTTGGCATATCCACCTGAGTAAAAATAATAGCTCCACCTTTACAGCATTTCTTACAAACCGGGCACTGTGTTAAGCACTTGACCTCCATTATCTCCTTCTGCAGCTCTGATGATGCTATCTGTAGAGCAAGCTCTGTTATCCCCGTGGTATAGATGAGGAAATGACTTATCTAACTCGCTCCAGAGCGCCTGCTTTTAACCACCACTTATGCTTGCTCCTTCTGGAGGCATGTCCCGTGTTACACACCTTCTGTTCTCCCTACCCCCAGTGCTTTCTATGTACTTGGTGGTTGATCATTATTGATTTGATTATTTGACTAGAAGAGGACTGTCAGTCAAAAGGGGGGTGTGTGTGTGCGCGTGTGCGCGTGTGTGCGTGTGTGTGTGTGTGTGTGTGTGTGTGTGTTATTAGCGCTAGAGAGGTCAGCAGCGCTTCGTGGAGATCTGAGAAGGGATTTGTCTATAGGATGGCTAGGAGTTCCAGACTCAGAGAGATGTGTACATGGCACTTCAGGGTGCCATGAGGTTGTACAGCGCTAACACTGAGGATACTGCTGCTCAGCTCAAGTTCAGGGAAGAACCAATGGTTCGTTCTGGCAGGAATGTAGGTGCAAATGGGTAAACAGTGTGAGCGTAGGAGCAATGGTTGGATCCCTGGTCAGGGAGAGCCTTGGAGTCAGGCTGAAGAGTCTGGAATTCCTGGTGATGTCAAACTATTGAAGTTTTCTGAGTCAGGAAGTGGCACAAACGTGGAATTTGGAGAGGAAGATAATGATGAACAAAGAATGATGAAGAGCTTGGGTCTGGCCCCAAGATAAAAGCCCCAGTTGTCAGGGAGGGAAGGAGTCAGGCTGATGGAATTCCAGAGGTTAGACTTTTGTTTGCGATGGAACCTGAGATTCTTAGAAGGGCAGTGAGCCTTGCTGGGTCAGATAGCTGGCAGCATCCTCCACTAGCTACCAGGACTCAGTGGAGAAGGACCCTGAGGGGGTGGCCAGGAGGCCAGTCTGAGACTGTATGCAGGGGACACCCATCTGGGTACCTCCTCTTCTACAGGAGATTGCATCCTACTTGATCACCTTTGAGAAGCATGAGGAGTGGCTATCCTGTGCCCCAAAGACAAGGTGAGAAAGTTTGTGAAGGTGGCGAGTGGCGGGGGTCCTGGGTTCTGTTCACAGAGCTCAAGGCCAACCCTATCCTCTTCAGGCCTCAGAATGGCTCCATTATCCTCTACAACCGCAAGAAGGTGAAATACCGGAAGGATGGTTACCTCTGGAAGAAGCGGAAGGATGGGAAGACCACCCGAGAGGACCACATGAAGCTGAAGGTCCAGGGCATGGAGGTAAGCAAGGCATCCAGCTCATCTGCCTTGGCCCACCCTTCTCAACCCTTAGCTGGGTTCCAGCCCTGTCAGGACTTGGCACCATTGTCTGCCTCACTACCCGCCCTTCTCACTCGCTTTGCATTTGCTGGCTGATAGCTTAGCCCACCCTCCACACCCCATTTCCTTCCATGTCCCAGCTCTGCAGGCCTTAGGTTATGCCTCCCCTGGAGGACACCCATGCCCAGTCCCCTCACCTCACTTGTATTTCCCTCAGGGGTCCAAGTATTGAACCTCTAAGCACAGGTTTATCTTCCCCAAATCATTGCTCCTCATCTCAGTTGTGATCTTGCCCTGCCCTCCGATTTCTAGATAGTTCTATATCTCAAATGTGATCCTCATTGTAAAGCCCTAGTCCCACTGTTCCCTTCTCCTGCCTCTCATCCATGATTTGGGGTGCTGGGATTTTAAAGGTGTGGGGAAGAGGTGGGGGTGGGTAAGGGTTGAAGAGGAACTGGTGGAAAGATTGGGATTCCTGCAAAGGGACTGAACAGAGGAAGAGTTGGGGAGCAGACTAGCCCTCCCCCCACCCCAGCCTGTCTCCTGGCAGTGTCTCTATGGCTGCTACGTTCACTCTTCCATCGTCCCCACATTCCATCGGCGCTGCTACTGGCTGCTCCAGGTAAGGAAGGAAGCGCTCAGGGAGACACACTCTTCCTGGCTCTTAGAGGGAGATGGGGTCTGGAAGGGTGCAGTGAAGGATGACTAGTTCTGAGTGGGTGCAGGAGCCTGGGAGATACGGAGTTTGGGATGGAGAGAACCAGAACTTGGGGATGGAGCTGGGGGATGCCTGGGGGAAAAGTGAAGACTAGGAGGCTGAGCCCTTGGATCTCAGGACCCCATCGTGCTCTGTGTGTACCCTTGTGCCCGCAGAACCCTGACATCGTCCTTGTGCACTACCTGAACGTCCCAGCCCTGGAGGATTGTGGAAAGGGCTGCAGCCCCATCTTTTGTTCCATCAGCAGTGACCGTCGAGAGTGGCTCAAGTGGTCCCGGGAGGAGCTGCTGGGACAGCTGAAGCCCATGTGTAAGGCAGCAGGGCCAGGACAGTGCCCAAGGGGAGAGTGGAAACAGGGGCCCCCCAGAGGCACCAGGAGCCTGTGGGGTGACCATGTCCCTCTCAGCCAGAGGGTGCTCTCCTGCGGGGGTGCTAGGCCTCCTGGTGAGTTCTACAGTGGAGAAGGGACCGCTGGGAACTACAGATGCAAGCAGTCTTGGGGCTGCTGGCCTCCTTGCACCTGGCCAGAAGTCTTGGAGCATCTCAGGTGCTTGAAGGAGCCGAGCTGTCAAGGGGCTCTGGGGACTTTTGTGGGGATCCCATAGCACTTCCCCCCCAACTCTCCTCTAGTTCATGGCATCAAGTGGAGCTGTGGGAATGGGACAGAGGAGTTCTCTGTAGAGCAGCTGGTGCAGCAGATCCTGGACACCCACCCGA